CCCGTTTTTGATCCCATTCCCCACTCCACCCCCACAAAATGTCTCTGGTATATGGTTGTTCATTATTTTTGTTATTTTCTCGCCTGGTAAAGGGGAGCCCATTTTAAAATCAAATGGTCTGCAAAGCTAATCATGTCCTATCACAACCTAAAATAAATGATTATAAAACAAAGATTATAAAGCAATTAAGGTTGTTCCAAGTTTAATTTGTTTTCAATATATGATTTTTAAATTTTATAATGGATGGCTATACACCCAAATCAAATACTCAGCCATCTCAAAAAAGTAGGTCCAATTTTCCAGACTTTCTCTAAAACTAAGATGAACAAGACCACTAAGTATTGCCATAAGAATGGCAAAGAAGTCAGTGAGAGAGAATAGGGAGTCCACAATTAGAGGCAAGCTTAAACAAGTAATCTGCAAAAAAGGAAGAGATTTTTTTTTTTCTAAAAGTGAATCTGGAATAAATGGATATCAGCATAGGAAAATAAAAGAATCCCTACTCAGTTGTCTAAGTCTCCTACAAAATTAACCCAAATAAATCATTTATCTAAATGTAAAAGTAAACTATAAAAGTTTTGAAAGTAAACATAGGAAAAGATTTCAAAACCTTGGAATAAGTAAGGATTTCTTTTAAAGGATGCAAAGACACTATCCATAAAAGAAAAAATATGAGAACAATTACTCTTCACCAACACCAATAACTGTTCATAAAAAGATGCGTTAGCTCATGGCCTTGAAGAAAATGTATGTCTAACAAAGGACTTCATACCTAGCATACAGAAAGAATTTTACAAATCAAAAAGAAGTGGGGGTGGGGAGGACCTGTAAAAAGGAAGGGAATATCTTGTCTATGGCAATTGATAAAGGAATAGCTAAGTGGTTAAAAAGACAAAATGTGCTGATCATCATTAGTCCTTGGGAAATACAAATTAAGCCAAGATGATTTACAACTATACATTAACAAGGTTAAAATCAAAAGGAAAGACGAGTAGATATTTTAAGGACTGTTAACAACTGGATTTCTCAAACAATGCTGAAGTAAAAAATGCTACAGTTACTTTGGAAAACACAACTTTTTCTATAGCTAAACATACCCTGACACTGAAAACTTGGCAATTATAATTTTAATTTTATATCCCAGTGACATGCGTATATGACTATCAAATTATATGTACAAAAAACGATCACATGCTTTATAATCATAATCCTCAATGAGAAACAGTACAGGCATCAAAATGTTGTACTGTAAGTATACTGAATACCTGACTTTTAGCCACTTCTATTTTCCAATTCCATGTTGCTCTAAATCTGGTTCTGCCCTCAACCACATGCTGCTAATCTGCCACATAAATCCCATGATGCCTTTACTTTCAATTCATCCGCACTACAGCTTTTTTCTCTGCAAAAGGATTCTAAGCCAACTTCTACCTTTCATTAGTTTCAATACAGTAAAGTTTGTATGTCTTCAAATAGGGCATAACATTGGTCTACCTGTCTTCCTGTCATAATCTTCAATTTGTAAAAAAATCAAACCAACAGATGGGAAACCCGTGGGGATTACAATTGAGATGAAAAAAAAAAATGTGCAAAATGATGTAAAAATAAACTTTTTAATAAAAAAAAAAGAAAAAAAAATCAAACCAACAAACAAGCAAAAAATCATTTTTCCTTATGTCCTATTTTCATCTCTAGGCCACACAAGCTCTTCCAAGTTTATGGGAATTGCTCAGTTTAAATTAAGTCATAATGATCTGTATCTGCAAATTTTTATTTTTTTCACATCATTCTTCATTTTGTGCATTTTTTTCATTTCAGTTGTAATGCAAAATTTTAATATACTATGCATGAGACAAAAATCATCACTTTTCCTTAATGACTTCTTGGGGCCATCAATATTCTAAAGCATCTAAAAGAAAACCTAGAAACATCTCATCCTAGTCAGCTGGAAGTATGGTATCCATATTGAGCGGCTTGTAAGAAAGACAAATTTAGCTTATTAAGTAATTATGTGCAGGAGGTAGATAGACTGTGGGTGCTTTGGTGGTGGGTGCACTGTGGTGGCAATATGTGAGAAGGGGAATCCTATACTTCCAAAATACAAACAATAAACCAATGTTATTTCAAATAAAATAAATTTATGAAAAGATAGTTATACTCAAGCAACTTACTATATCTTTAAGTACCAAGATAACTTAGTAGCCACTATAAATACGAGTACACAGAACTATTTTTTATTTTATTCTTGAATAACACAATTACTCACTAATGGCATGCATGTAACTATTATGCAGTGAACAATTTCTAAAATCTTGGAAACAGATTGGAGACTGCTGTCCTAACTAATTTCCACACTGATTTTCATGTAACATTTGCTTTACTATACAGCAACATCCATAAAGCCAGTTTTTGCAGAAATAAAAAGAACTGTAGTGTGACCAACATTGAAAGTATGAACTACCTTGAGTTAGTAGTCTATGTGAGATATGACAGATGTTGAGTATAGATAGCTGTATTTCCTTTAAAAAATTAAACCATTCCAAACAGCTCTATGAATTCACTATGGAGCATTTAACAACTAAACAGATTAGATTAAATGAGATTGTTGGACGTTGAGGAAAGGTTGAAAGTAGATAAATAACACTAATATTTGTAAGTCGTTGGCCCCTCAGAGATACAAACTAAAAGATTTTGGCTGTCTTTTAGTTGGAACTGTAGAGATATGGCAGGTGACAATGTTAATACTAAATTTTTTAAAGTGTAGAACACAAAGTATCTATCAGGTCAATCCCTTATCTAAGCACTTCCTAAATAAAACAAGCAAGAGATAATTATGCAAAACAATA